CCGCCCTCCCGCCTCCCTGCTGCCACTCCCGTCCGCCAACGACCAGCACCTGCTCCACTGCCTTTCGGGAATCGGCTTCAAGTGGGGATTTGGCCCCGAGAAGCCGTCCGTCCAGTCGGCCCGCTGCTGTGACCAGAGAGCTGACGACCCGCGCGGGGAAGCAGCGAGGCCCAGTGCGGTCCTGAGCCGGTCTCGGGTACCACCACGCGCTGCTTCCTCGCGGCCAGGTGGTCAGGACCAGAGGCCAGGTGACCCCGAGCTGGTACCAATCGGCAAGGCCAGAGTGATGCTGAATGCCCGTGTTGAAGAAAGGTTCTGCACACACGTGAGCCCGCCTGATTCTTGCCCCCAAGGGTAGTGGCTCCAGGCGCCCCCAAGCTCCCTGGCCCCGCGCACTATGCGAGCCTTATATCCTGATGACCGGAGGTCCTGAGAACAGCGTCTCAGGACGCTGTCTCCACCACGCGTGACTCCGTGGGGCCCGGGCAGGGCTTGGCCCGGAGGACACCTCAGTGTTTGCAGTGGGAATGATGAAGGAATTCCCAAGAACCGGCTCCCAAATAAGGATGAACTGTGCCCAGGAAGGTGCTTCGCAATTAGTCCCCACAACAGCCCCTGAGCTGGCGCCACGCCTGCTCCGCCCACTCTCTCCCCTCCTCCCCCCACCCGCTCCTCTTCCTGCTCTCATCCAAGTGCTCCTCTTCTCCTACCTTCCCCAGTCTAAGGCAGTGACTGCTGTGGGGATCAGTGCTGTCACTCTTCCCATCAACATTGTCCCATTCTGACCCTCGTTGTTACCCACCAGGAGGCACTGGGAGGCGACCCCCTCCCAGCTGCTAGCCCCAGGAAAGGTGGGCCCCAGAAAAGGGGCCGAGTCTCCTCAGTACTGGAAATATTTCCCTTTTAGCAAGCCAGGGGCAAGGAATTGATTATGCAACAGAAAGAAACTGGTTCCAGAGTGCTGCTTGTGAAAACTGCTTTCTGTTGCAATGTTTTGTGTACGTGTGTGAGTAATTCTCCTGTGATTTGATTTATTCCTGCAGCGGGGGTGGATGGATGGAAGGATGGACTGAAGGAGCAGTAGCATCCATCCTGCACCCATGTGGGGCCAGGCCTAATGCCAGGTGGTTTCACAATTGTTCTCTCATTTAGTCCTCACAACACCTCTCAGGTGGGTGTTAACATCCTGTCTTTACAGATGAGGGAACCCAGGCTGAGAGAATTGATGTAATTTATCCAGTGGTTGTGGAATTTAAACCTACTATCGCTCTGCCCCCCCCAGCTCCCCTGTTCAGATGTCCATCCAGTGCCCATCTGGGTGCCATCTGTGGGGGGAGATGTCCTTTCCTGAGTGTCTCCATACACTTCAAAACTCACAGCAAGCAGTCTCCCTGCAGGTTTCTTTCCGCTGCTCTGGGAACTCGGGGCCCAGAACTTACAGGGACTTTGGCAGAGCCGGCCTGGCCCCTGTGATCTCCTTCTCAGTGGTTCTACAAAAGTTAAGAAACCAGGCATGTGTCAAACCTGAGCCCTGGGGTCCAGGCTGACGGAGGGACAGTTTATCCTGGGCTTGGATCCTGCTCTCCATCTGGCCTTTGGTCAGAAGTCAGCCTGTCAGCCTTCGGAACATCTGCGTACATTCTAACCCCTTCCTTATCCACGTCCTGGCTGAGCCATGGAGGGTCGTTTGTTTGGGGGCTGTGAATTGTTTCTTCCCCACAGCACTGAACTCCCAGTCCCTAACCTGTCCCTGGACAGTGTCACTAGTCCCAGGCCCACCAGAGGCCCACCAAGGTGCAGGGACCACCGGCCAGCCATCAGGGGGCCCTTGAGAGACATTCAGCCGTGCAGCCAGGGTGGTTGGGCAGCCAGATGCTGAGAGGAGCTGCTGGAGGTGGGGCAGCCCCTCCACTCCACCCCACCCCCAAGAGGCCCCAAGAGAACCCTCTCTGTCTGTTGCACCAAGCCGGGGTTGGGGTGGAGTTTTATGAGCACAAGTGTCAGTCTTCCAGATCCTCTGCAAACACCCTCTGGAAGTGGCCAGGGAAACAGATGACAAAGGGGCTGGTGTGTGTATCACAACCAAGGTCAGTCTGCAAGGTCTCTGTGGGTTTTGCTCTTGGTTCAGGCTCCTTCCTCCTCACTCACCATCAGCACAAGTGGGAGGTGGGGTGGGGGGAGGAGGCACCCCTGGTTGGGGGAACTGAACCGTTTCTGCTGTCTTTTGCCAGCAAATGTGGGGTGCTCTGAGGAACACACACACAGACAGATCACATACACACATGACACACACGCAGATACACCCAAACAGACACGTACAGAATGCACACATAGACACATAAACACACACATACATGTACACAAACATATAGATGCAGAGAGACATATACAGACACACACACAAATACAGACACACACGCAAACATATACACACAGAAACATAAATGTGCAAGTACGCATGAGGTGTTTTGCTTAAGTGAAGGACCCGCTATTCCAGGAGTCACGATGCACCAGAGTCACTTTGAGCTCTGGGGCCTCAAGCACCTGGGTTGTCACGTTCAAATCCCTAGTTTGAGGTCCATTTTTTCTGTGTCACCTCTAAGCCTCCTGAATTGCAAATCCCACCAGAAGGGTGAGTCTGGACTGCATCACTCAGAGTTCACAGGCCCCCAAGCAAGAGTAAGCCACCGGCTCAAGCAGGGGCACAGTGTGGAACCCAGAGGTGCTTGAGGGAGACTTTACCAGTGTTCCCCATCCAGTCTGTATAGGTTGGCACATGGGTGTAGACACCAGGCTGGTATGGCCCAACGCAGCCTGATTCCCAGCTTACAGTCCCAACCTGGATCCAAGCATCATAGATGGGACAGAGCAGTGGCCCCCCCAGTCACCCCAGGGACAGGGAGGGCAGGAGCCGAGCACGAGGCCTCCTGGAGCCCACGGGCCTGCGCACCCTCTGCTGAGGTCACAGGGGCTGGGCAAGGATGCTGCTCCCTGTGGATGCTGGGGTGTGGAGGTGGGGACCGAGTGGGGAAACGAAGAAACTGGAGGGTGGGTGGAAGCCGCCGTCACCTCGCAGGAGTCTTTTTTCCCATCACAAAGAGGCACAGAACATGTCATACTGGATGAAGCCCTTCCTGGGGAGGCTGGGCTATCCTAGGTGCTAACCTGCTAGCACGTCTCCCAAACGCAGATGGGCCCAGCCACCGCCAGGAGGACCCGCGCTAGGACTGGATCTCCTGCGCCTCTGCCCACCCAGCTCCTCCCGCCTCCCAGAGCCAGGAGGCAGGGGCTGGGGCAGTAAGTTCAAGCCCCAGGCATCTGCCTGGGAACTGAGGGCCCTACTAATCTCACAGCCTCTCAGCCTCAACTGCACTGGCTCCGCCACAGGCAGAATCCAGGACACTGGCCCGAGGCCCCCAAGTCCTATGTGGGTCCCTGTGGTGAGAGGGCTCAGGGAGTCTAACTGCACCAGGAATCTGTCCCCTGGGCCACCCCTGCCCGTGGTCGAGGGTGGACAAGGAGACTGTTCACAGACACGGAGGTCAAGTTGGGATGGGAAAGGAAGGGAGCGACCCACCTGCCTCAACACAGTAGAGCTGGGATCCGAACACCCAGGAGGCGCTGATGATCCCACATGCCAGCTTCCGGGGGTGATGGCGCTGGTGAGCATCCCCACTATGTCGGCGCCAGGGTCTGTGTCCCCCGGGTGGGCCTTCGCCGCCCCTGCCCTCCAGGAGACTCTGCAAGGCCAGCAGGGAAGTAGCAGTGGGGGATGCCCTCCACGGAGCCCCAAGCTCTGGGCGAGCCTGCCGCCCAGCAGGGCTGAGGGGCCGCCCGCACTCGCGCGCGGCAATGGCAGCAACAACCACTACCACAACCCAGTGACAGTGGAGACAGCAGCGCCCACAGTGACCACAGCAAAAGCGGCAGCAGCAGCAGTAACAACAACGACACACAACCATGTGAGTCAGGGCATCCGTTTAGCTTCCCGCTCACACAGACCCTGGGTCCCACATCCAGAGCCGGGTGTAGAGATGCCCCTTCACTCTTGCTGAAGACGCCGTCCTGTTTAGTAAAGCACAGCTGTTCCAAAGCACACGATCAATCAATCAATAAAGACCTAGGCGGGAACAGACGCAGGTGCTGCCTCTGCAGCTAAGGAGCCCGTGGCCGCCCTCCACCCATCCCACTCACCCGAGGAAGCAATAACACCCAGGGCGCCCAGCTGAGGTGGGTGAGGGAGCCCCCACCCACGTGCCCCTTGAGGCCATCCTCAGCTCACCTGCTGCAGCCACAGTCCTTCCTGGGCCCCTTAGTCTCCCACAATCTTCCCGGCATCCCTGGATAGGCCCCACCCCGGGAGAGACCGGCAGGTGGGGACGGGGCCCAGCCTCAGCCATCACATGTGTCCCCTCCTCTCAGTTTCTACTCCAGCACCTCCTACGCACACCCCACTGGCCCTGGACCCTTGGCTGGGACGTCCAGGGCTGGGCCAAACTGGAGGCAGCACGTCCCTGAGGGCCCCTAGGAAAGACAGATCAGGGAGGCAGGGTCACCATACTGGTCATAAAGTCACCCCCCTCTGTTAGACCAGGAGTGCAAGAACAGGGCGAATCCCAATTCTCCTTCTGGTCTGGGGGAGGCCACCCCAGATGGAAGGAGCTTTCGGGTCTCCTCCTTGATTCTTCCTCCTCCCACCTCCCCAGGAGGCTGGCTGGCCCCCCAGGGCCAGGCCTCTGCCCCTTGGCCCTGTCCCAGCCATCCAGAAAGCTCCCTGTAGGATGACAGAAGCAAAAGACCCAGGCCGCATAGGAGAGCAGAGGGGCCAGTGGGGGGCAGGGCAGCGGTCAGCAGATGCAGCAGCAGAAACAGGCGGAGGCCTGGCCACATCCAGAGCCGGGTGGCAGGGGCTGGGACATGACTCTCCACCTGCAGACGCTGTTTGAGGGTCAGCATCCTTGGATGGCACCCGAGGGATGGTTGGTGGGTCCCTCACCGATGGCAGTCACCCAGAGCCCTGGCTGGGCAGGACCTGGCCCGCTCCTCACTGGCAGTCCTCTTGGACTCCTGAGAGGAGGCCGGGGACCACAGGGCCCATTTGAGGCCAGTCCCTCCTAGGATCCAGGGTCGGTGGAGCTGGTCGGGCCTCCCCAGACTGAGACATGAAAGCCACGTCGTTCTGCAGGCAGCCCATCACCCCCTGTGTCCAGGAGACCTGGGGTCCCTACTCACTGCTAAGGGATGGCCACCTGGTCTCCCTGTCCCACCCAGGGCACGCAATGTCTCCCTGTGGACCGGCCACCTCCTGACTCCCTTCTTCCCAGAGGAAACTGCAGCTCACAGAGAGTAGAAATCTCTAGGTTCATGGTTAATCCACAGCAAAGCCTTCACTTTTTATTTGTGGGGTAGGACAAGGCAAGTTGAATTTAGTGAGTTTGACATTATTAGAATTTCTCTGATGATTAGGGAC